TTCGGATTGTGTTTGGTTTTAATTCGGTTTTCAAAAAAATCAATTCACATAACATGTAACCAAACTCATCAACAAAAAAAAAATTATGGAAACAAACTGAAAAACGTAACAAAATTTAATATAAAAAAACAAATAGAAAGAAAAAATACTTTATAATGTTTTATGTCCTTCCAGCAAATTAATAGTTTATATATGTCATATATAAACTAAATAAGTGCTTATTCGTTTTTCCTGATCATTCATTACATTATTATTGTAAACCTAAATTACATACGCTTGTCTAGAGTTAAAGTCATATAAAATATTAACAAAAATCTAATTAATCTTTGTATTAAATAATAATATTGGAAAACATTAAACATGAATTTTCATAAAAATCTATAATATTAATATATACAATTAACTAATTTGATAAAATAAACACATTGAGTTTTCGGTTCGGTTCAGTTTAAAATTTGGCTTAACGGCTAATGTAATACGAGTCAATAAGGCTAGACATAAAATCTGGCTACAAAGCTGAGCAAATGTATAAACATAAATGTGGCAGTTGGTGGTCACTAAATTTGTTGTATATATACGAGAGAATCATGTTCCATAATGGGAAGGTATGTCACTGGTTTCCATTAACTTGATCCGACCAAATTCAAACCTATACTATTATCTATCGAATTAATGTTTTGACTTTTAAAATTTTGGTTTATTGAAAGGGAGTAACCAAACTATTTGCTTCAAGAACCCTACAAAGAAAATTTAAAATAAACGAATAACTTATCATAAGATATCACCGCTAATGTTTGCTTACTAGATTTTGACCCACGCCAAACATGAGATTAAATAACTAAATATGTTTTTTAAATAAATTTAATATTTAAACGTGTATTTTAATATTTATATACGTATAAAAATGATATGTATTATGCATAAATATAATAAAGGTAAATTTTGATCAAACATAAATATTTTTTACCATTGTTACTTTTAATTTCTCTTATCAATTAAAAATAATCATGAATTTTTGTTTTTTAATATTCTAATCCCGCGTTTCAATCGGATACAAAAAAAATCTAATAGTTATTGAAAAGAAAAGAAAATATCTTCAAATATTTTCTATATTCCTTAAATAAAATTCATTATATTAATTATCACATATTCGTTATTTCCATATATTTGTTATTAAAATTTTTTAATAATTTTTATTAGGAAATGAGTTTTTTTTTTTGTTAAAAGGCCTTCATTAAAGAAATTAGATTACATAACGAAACAGCATTAAAAAGAAAAAAGCTTGAAATAAAAAT